TAAACAACAAAATTAATTACTAGATGAAATACCCAATGTTAACACTATGGTAAATCCACTTAGATTAGGGATCAAATCAGGTGTGTGCTCTTTTGGCCTTCAACCACCACCAATAACTAATTTCAATATTCTCATTCAAATACACCAGTCTTGATTATTTATTTTTGAAAACTACAAATTTCTTTCCTTTCAGATAATCTAGATACTTCCCAACCATTAAACATGAAAGCAATTACGAGTCTCCTTACTAAAAGAATGATAAATACAAAATTGAAGGTCGTGAGCACCAATTTTATTTGGATGCATATTGAGAATCCTCATCTATTGTAAGGCAAACACTAAATCTAGTCATAAAACTCACACTCTAATAAATAGATGTTTAACGCTCATATCCTTTCCATATTATCTTGTACACCCCTTAAGCCTTAATGCATTATACCTTATCTCCCTAGATTGTCTTTAGTAGGGATCATATTGTTAATCCGCTTCCATGAAAATGCACACACTTTTAATGGCTTATTTTTGTTCTAAATGAGCTCTTGGATCTATACAAGATCACAATGGTCTTCATGGATCATGATGTGATATACAATTTTTACCGAGTAGTCAACATAATGATTAAGGGTCCATTTCCAACAATGAACTATATTATCTTGAAAAAGAATATTAACCAACAAAAATCAGAACCCTACCACCAGTTCATCATCTTAAGCAAAAATATCCTATGTCACCTTCAACCTAGACCTCAACCTCTCAATCTAATATTTTTGTCATGTGATAACTTTAAAACACAATGAGACCCGACACAAAGACTACTTTCCTCCAACTAAGGATTCTTCCAAAAGAAAGTCATTTCCTCATTACCTGCAAATGATGAAAACAACCATCTAACCACTAATCCAAACTCACCCCAACCATTCTCTATTATTAGAAAGGTTCCTCAACCACACAGATGCTCTACTAACTGTGTCTTTAATGCAATCTCCTTCTACTTCATATTTCATCACTAAAATCATGTACCATGACCCTTTATGGTCAACATGCAACATCCACCACCATTTATTCAAGAAAGCTTGATTAGACTCCTTTACCCTCTAAACCCTAACCCACAGACTTTCCTACGCAAGAACATTTTGTCCCAATTAATATAATGGATCTTTCGTGCACCATAAACCCCCATCCACACACACGTACACTACGACAAATACTTAAATGAAAATAAAAGAAATAATACACGTGGGAGCCAATAAGAAGGAAGGAAAGTAAACTGATACAAATGTTAACACAAATTTAATGAGTACAAGATGATTCTCCATATTGATGTGCGCTAATTTTTATTTTTATTTATTTTATAGGTATATATTTTAAAGTGTCGAAAAATATATTTTTTAAGTAAAAATATTATTAAAAAACTTGAATTACGAAAGAGGGGGATTTAAAGGATTCACATTCTTTATTGTTTTTATTATTCTTGCTTTTTATTTTTCTATTTTAGTTTTTATTTATAGCAAAATTTTAATTATTAATTTAAATATTTACTGTTAGATATAAAATTTATTAATAAATAATTAAGATGAAACTATTAACATCTATTCATTTTTATTACAAAATTTTATATGTAAAATGATAACAATTCAAATAAATGATACAAAAATAATTTATATTTGTTGTTAAATATATAAAATTAATATATAATTATGATATAAAATAGTAAATTATTTTAAAAAATTTATTATAAAATTTTCATATATACAGAACGATAACAACAAATAGTACAAATAATAAGCTCTTTAAATTTATCATTTGAAAAGCTATTAAGGTTCTATTTAGCATGATATTTTTTGAACTTATAACTTATAAATTTATATAATAATAAAAATTTATTTGGTAACAATCATTTTATCATTAGTTTAAAATTTATTTTATTATTTTATAATTTATTTTTCAGATAATATTTTAAATAGCATTTTAATTTATCATTTTTCCACTTTCACCTTTATTATTGTAATTAAAATTCATTTTTATTCTCTATAATTTATTAAATATTTTTTATATCATTTTAATTTATAAATTTTAAACAGTTAATTCTATCAAACATTTCAATTAGTTTGTTCATTATAAATCATCAACCATCAACCATCAACTATAAACTATAACCCACAAATCACCAATAACTAATTATAAACTAACTATCAACTAACTTACCAATCAACCACTATTTTTATCAAACATAATCAAAATTTATATATAAATATCTTTTATATTTATATTTCAACTTCACAACTAACTTTTTAATCTAAAATATTTATAATAATATGTTCTATACTATTAACACTAACATGGCATATTTTTGAGTTTTATAAACTTATATGACAAAAAAATCTTTTGGTAAATGTCTTTTCATCACAACTTTATAATTTATTTTAAACAATATTTTATATTTATCATTTTTCTTTCATTTTTATCTTTATATTTTAACTAAAACACTCTTTTATTATTTATAATTTAGTTTAATTTAAAATAAAATAATTATACATTAAATATCTTTTGTCTTTCATTTTTATCTTTATATTTTAACTAAAACACTCTTTTATTATTTATAATTTAGTTTAATTTAAAATAAAATAATTATACATTAAATATCTTTTGTCTTTTATGTTATTTTAGTTTTATCAATTAGTTGAGCTATTAACTTTTGAAAAAAATTTCTATACAATTTTTTAGATGTGATTTTTATTATTTTCTAATGAAAGTATGACAAGTGTATTTAAATATTATTTAGAGAGTGAAAATAGAATAAAATTATATATCGTAAGAAAAAATTATATCCATATCGTATTTTTATTAAAAAATAATAAAAATCACACATAAAAAATTGTATATAAGTTTTGTCTATTATTTTAATAAACACTTCTTAATTTATCAATCATATAAGTTACTAAATTATTAGTTATTATCAATCGTTAATTGACTGAGTAATGATTGACGTTGAATTTAATAGGGAGGATCACGATTATGCCTGAACTAGTACAATTTATATTAAAAAGAGTCTAAATTAAATTACAATATTTGTTATACATAATTTATAAATTATATATTTTCTTATAATAAGTTAAAATAAAATTATTTTAATATTATAAAAAAGAGACATGATTTATTGATATTAAGTGTAAGTTTTAATAAACTTACATCATATTTTAATGATTAATAACATTCGATTAAACAATTATATAAATAATTTATTTTTTAGGAAAAAGAATATATTTTATATTTATTTTATTTTATTTAATATCATCGTTTGGTATTTTTTTTTTAGCACTTGAAATTTTGTATAAATCTTTTAGCACGGGTAGGACTCCAATTCATTTCCATGCATGCGACACAATTTTGATTTTGATATTTGGGTCCCACAAACCATCAAATATATTTTTCTTCTTTTAGCATAACTAACCAATATTCGATCGAATTGAAAATTGGAGATTATTGATCTAGTATGATTGTTGAATTAAATATAGTGAATATGTAAGAATAGATAAAAATTAGTAAATGGACGGTTTTAGAAAATCAATGCGTTAAATGCATGTATTTTTAAATAAAATGACGTTTTTTTTTATAGTTTTTAAAAAGTATATATAAATATTGTTTGTTCAAAATTTATTAATATATTTTTTTTTGGTAGTTGGAAGCTTTGGTTGGATATTAATATATTTAATATGAATAAATTTAAAATTTTATTTTATTTTAAATAAAAATAATATTAAGATATAATATTAAATAGCATTGTTTCATTTTACTTATTTATTTATTTTAATCACCAATTGAATGGCCTAATCTTATTCAAAGGTTAGTTATATAGGATTAAACATTTGTTATTCCTAACAAATTTAATATCAATCACATTTTAAACTAATTAACTATCCGTTCATTTTCATTTTATGAAGGTATAGATGCCTGACAAAATTTACCAAGAAATTAAATATATTTTAATATAATTAATGATTATTTAATACAAGGCATTTAGATAAGATTAAATTAATTGTCCAATCTATTCTTCATGGATATTACTATAAACTATTTAGTGAAAATAAAAAAAAAGTTAAATTTAATAAAAAGTATTTTAGAAATACAACGAATAAATAGTAAAAAACTTATTCTATTCTAATTTAGTTTTATCCTAGGATTTGTTGTCTATTTCTACTTGTATTTTTAAATATTCAAGAAAATAAAAAAGTAGATATATCAAAATAATATTTTTTAAACTTTTATTTGAACATAAAAATGTTTAAAAATTATTATATTAATATATGAAATACTGAAAGAAAATCGATAAATTATTTAATCATTAAAAAAACTTTAAAATTAAAATATAATATATTCAAATATTTAATAATTTTCCATAGAAACATTTCAAAACTTAAAAAAGTGGGACATAGAAGTCATTAGCCTCGAAATCTCGTCCCTTTTTGCCACCGCGATCTGCTTTTTATCAAACAAAACCCCTACTTTTCATATTCTCTTATTCCCTTTTTATCCTTCTTTTCTCTCCAGTTCTCTCTTTACACAAACCCATACAGTAGCACAAAAACTCAAATTGGGTTCTTCAAAACATTTCTTCCATTTTTCATTTTCTGTCACTAAATTTCCCACTTCACTCCTCTCTGAGGTTTTCTCAATCTCACTTTCAATGTAAGCACTTTTCTCTTGTTCATTCTTTCTATTTTCTATAATCACTGCTTCATTAATCATAATTCTCATTTTGTTTCTGCAGAATCTTGGAACAGTGAGTTTGATTTTGGAGGATGGTTTTCTGAGGTATGGATTTTCTGATTAGGGTTTTTCGATTTTACTGCATAGTTCTTGATGTTGATTCTTTGTGTTTTGTTTGTTAATTCTGGTAATGTTGTTGATTGCAGTTGGTTCAGTTGTTGTTGAAGGTTTGATTGGTTTAGTAGATAAATTGGGATTAGGATTGATTGTTTTAGGGTTTGGTTGTTCTAGATATGATCAAACAGATACTTGGTAAAATACCTCGCAAGCCTTCAAAATCTTCAGAGAGGGATTCTAACGGTGATGGTGAGTTGGTCAATGGTAGTTCCAATAGTGTATTGAAATCTAATTCAACTTTTTCGAAATCTTCGAGTTCTGGTTCGGGTGGGTTGTATTCTGGGAATGGGAGTTCTGCACCCTTGTCAAAGAATTCGAATAAAACAAACCAAGCTAAGAAGTTGATTCCTGCAATTGGACCTCACGTTGGTTCCATAATGGCTCTTGGTAATGGAAATGGAGTTTATGAGGCTTTGCCGGGTTTTCGGGATGTTTCTAGCTCGGAGAAGGCTAATCTTTTTATAAGGAAGTTAAATATGTGTTGTGTTGTATTTGATTTTAATGATCCCAGCAAGCATCTTAAAGAGAAGGATATCAAGAGGCAGACTTTGCTTGAACTTGTTGATTATGTTTCTGCTGTGAATTCGAAGTTCAGTGAAGCGACAATGCAGGAGATCACTAAGATGGCAGCGGCAAATTTGTTTCGAACGCTACCTTGTTCGAATCATGATGGTAAGCTTGCAGAAGCATATGATCCTGAAGAAGAGGAACCTGCATTGGAACCGGCTTGGAGTCATCTGCAGATTGTGTACGAAGTTCTATATAGGTTTGTGGCTTCGCCAGAGACGGATGCAAAGCTTGCTAAACGATACATTGATCATTCATTTGTATTGAGGCTGATTGATCTCTTTGACTCTGAGGACCAGAGAGAAAGGGAATACTTGAAGACTATTCTCCACCGTATTTATGGGAAGTTCATGGTACACCGCCCATTCATTAGAAAAGCGATCAATAACGTCTTTTATCAGTTCATATTTGAGACAGAAAAACACAATGGAATTGCAGAAATGCTGGAGTTTTTGGGGAGTATAATTAATGGATTTGCTTTGCCTTTGAAGGAAGAGCATAAGCTGTTCCTTATCCGTGCATTGATCCCACTTCACAAGCCAAAGTGTGTCTCTATGTATCACCAACAGCTTTCTTATTGTGTTACACAGTTTGTTGAGAAAGATGTCAAGTTAGCTGATACTGTGATCAGAGGTCTTTTGAAATATTGGCCTGTAACTAATAGTGCAAAGGAGGTAATGTTCCTTGGTGAACTGGAGGAAGTTTTAGAAGCCACTCAAGCAGCTGAATTTCAGAAATGCGCGGTGGGATTGTTTCGTCAAATTGCTAGATGCCTTACTAGCCTACACTTTCAGGTGCTTAACAAAACTTCATCATTTTCTTTTTCCTATGTGGCATTTGCATGCATTTCATCAGCATCTATCAATACCAATGATCTCTGTTTCTTTCTGATTTTTGCCTCCTTAACTGTCTTCATTTTCTTTTCTTATGTATGTTTTCCATTTCTTGATTTTTTCTTCTTTGTGGGGATGAAGTTGTTTTGACAATTTCATCTTATGGGCCTGGTGGTCAATAGCAACGAACAGCATTGCAATTGCATTGGTATGACTCGAAATGAGTGGTAGCCACTCCTAATAGCTCAATGCATTATGTTTTTTAGTAGAGCTAATTGTAGATGAAATACAACAGCATTGTTTATTACTAGAACGCATTACATTGACCCATCTGCAGACAGGGGGTCAGATCGGGTCTGCTTCCACCTTTAGGGATTCTTTTAGTAGTCTCTGTAAGTTTGTATGTTCAAGGTTAGAGAACCCACCCACTTTCCATCAGGCTGAAGTCTTCAACACTGTAACTTATTTCAGGTGCAGGTGTTACATAAACTTCTTCCTCCATTCTATTCTTTTGTCGCCAATATCCCGCTCTGCATCTGATGCCTCTGTCTTTTTGTTTTAAAGAAAACTCTTAAAACTGATTCAGAAATAAATAAAAAAGGCATTACAAGCCCATAATTAAAAGACATTATTTTATTCTCTTATGGCAATTTGCACTAGGATATTCAGTAACACACAATTGCGGTGCAATAGGCAAAGCGCCATTTGGAGTATTCGAGTCTCGTGGCCAATGTCACAGTGGGTAACGTGGGAGCCACGGCATGATAGCACTGCCACTGTGTCTGCGAGTCCTGAGCCCCATCTCTCTGCCCTATCTCCGTGACTATGCTCTTTTCCTTCCTCTACGCTAGCTGCAAATGCAAGTCTGCGATGCATCATCCTCCACTTTGTGGCTCTGTGCTGCCGCCGGACAGCCGCTGCGACCTCCCTCTTCCTACAAACCACCCTCTCTTTTATCTGCGATCTGTGTCTATTATGGGCAAAGCTGCCTTTTCATTTTCTAACAAGGGGCAATACTTACCTTGGTTAGCTAGCTGTGATACAGCTGAAGGGGTCTTAGGGAACTAGGGTTTCACGGGAGTTGAGCCATATGACCCTAATTTTTGTGTTTTTTTTTTCTCTAATTTTTTTTTTGTTTGTGTTTATTGGGACCCAAATTGAGTCCTGTTTAGCACTTTTTTTTTTTTTTTTTTTTTTAAATTTTAAACATGACATACAATATAATAAACTGAATAATAATAGTGGCCATCAACATAAAAGTCTTGGAACGTGTCGCAATGGCTAGGCCTGGCCTATGGTCAAGGGGGAGAATGTTGGAACTTCTTACTGATCACTTCAAAGCTGTTGTTGCCAACCCCAACATCTATGACCATTTCTTCCGGTACCTTGTATGTCCTTCATTTTTCGCCGCTTTGTTGCTACCATATCTATGTTTATTTGTAATTATTTGCTCATACTTTATGTTTGAGCAGATGGATTTCTTTTATGAAGATTGACAACTTCAAAGGAAATTATTGTGTTAACAGAAAAATAATGGTCATAGTTCAAAAGACATAACTATAAAGTTAGTGAAGATGACTAATCTATGATGATTTAGGGACTGTTTATACATTTGCCCCCCTTGGTCGTGCGAAACAACTGAGAGGGCTAAACATATATGTACTTTCTTAAGCTATCATCGACAAACCCCTCTTCATTAGTTTCAATTTGTATGTCTCTTGAACTCTGTTATTTTCAGCAAATACCACCATTTCCTTGTTGGCAACCACAGTTTCAGACTTCTTTCTCTTGACCCAAGCCTAGCCATTTTGACACGTTCTGACATTGACATACAATAAATATAAAGCACTGACCTCAATATGATAAATTGATGCTAGGCCTAGCCATTGCCCCACTATAGCGATTGATTGCTATGCGCCAATATTTGGGATTGATATCAGTTTACTTTACACCACTTCCTTCTTTTTAACTGACAATAGCTATCTTTTATTTGCTCAATTATTTATGCATTTGTTATTTACTGATATTTTCTAACACTTACGATACGATGAATAATTCTTAAAAGTTTGAGCAATAATATTTTTATTATTGATTTGTTTTGTACAAAACTTCTAAGTATTAATTTTATGTGTTTTATAATGTAAATCTCGTGTTCTTCACTATAGTAACCAGCACTGTTCTGCTATCTGCTGCCACTATAGCATTTTTGGGGTTGGCCTCTTCATGCCACACTCTATCATTAACTAGTATTATTAGCTGTTGTTATCTTAGGACATTTTAATATTTCGATTTTCAACTAAATACATTGAGTTTGCTCCACTTATTTATTGATAAAATTAGAAAGCTACACTTATTCCCCCGATGGAACATTAACTTATGAGTTATTTGCAAATTTCTGTATGCGTGCATTTTGTAATTTGCTGGATGGTTAAAGCACCTTCAGAGTCGAGCGTTTTTTTCTCTCACAGAAATGCTACGTAAAATTAAGACTAATGACCTGTGTTGTTACAAATCTTTTTCTTTTGATTGAGTTTCATAGAGGCTTTCGAAGTTTAGGAAATAGCCGTAATCTTTCTTAAATTGCGAGCTTACTTGCCTGCTTTGCCATTGGCATTGGCTCTTTATCACTTTGTTATTTTTTTCTCATTCTTTTTAAGGGTTCTGGAATGTGGAAGGATTGTAAAGCATTTTCGAAATGAGCTGTTTGTAGTGTCACTGAATACGCAGTGGTGGGGTTTTCTGTTTTTAAATAAAAAAAGGTTGGTTTTGGGAGATGGGTAGGTGGTAGGACAGGTACGTTCATTATTGAACTTGTAACGGACTCGGATAGCTCTTCTGAGATAACATTGTCCTTCCAAGTTTTTCCTCTTTGTTTTTGCATATATCTTTTTTCCACCGTGTCTATGAGGTTAGTTTACCCTCCCAATTATCATCCATTTTCTTTCTAAACAATAAAATCTTCTTTAACAGTAGATATTCATAGAGGTCATTTCGGCTGTAATTAGGTTTGATTTTGTAGTAGCATTGGCTATGTTTGCAAATATATTTTCAAGTCTAATAGATCCTATATTACATTCCCTCAAAGTATTACAAAACTTATTCACCTTAACGACTTCGAAGAATCATTGATTATATCTTATGCATTTGACTATACGAGTTAATGATATTGACTCTGATAACTCCTATTATTTATATGAATTGACTGTTTACCTTTGCTTTGAAGCTGGACTTCTGTTCCCATTTAATATGTATAGTTTTTTTCTTGTTGAAACATTTTAATATGACTTGATTCACTGTTACGGGCTTCTTTAAATGCAATACTTAATTAAGTACAAAATGTGAAACTGAAAATCGATTCCATTTGGCCTGTAGGTGGCTGAACGTGCACTGTTTCTGTGGAACAATGATCATATCAGAAATTTGATAATACAAAACTGCAAAGTTATACTACCTATAATCTTCCCTGCTTTGGAGAAAAATGCACGGGGCCACTGGAACCAAGCTGTCCAGAGCTTAACTCTGAATGTGAGAAAAATATTCTCTGATGCAGATCAAACACTTTTTGATGAATGCATGATCAAATTCCAAGAAGACGAAATCAATGAACGAGAGAAGCAAGAGAAGCGGGAATCCACGTGGAAGAATTTGGAAGACGTGGCTATTGCATCCACATATTTAAGCAATGAAGCAGTTCTTGCATCAAAGTTCGCTTCCGTTGCTACAGTGCAAAACAACTACTGATTGCAGGTTGTTGAGAGCCATTAGATATTCAAATTGTTAAGTCTACCTCATGACTAAGAACTGAACAAATGCTTTTAGTTGGAGGTACATCTTATTTTATATTAGCTTACTGCAAGATTAAAATTACGAAGAGTTTTGTGGACATGTTTGGCTGCAAGTGATTTTCTGGATTTTTTTTTTGAAGATGTATATGTTCTATAAGGAATGTGATTTATATTTGACCGTCCTTGTTTATTGGATCATACAGTGATTCAAAACCCAATCCCTGTTGTTGGTGGTGGCATGTCATATAACTCAATGTTATGCCACTTTTTCTTTTAACTTTCAAACTACATAATTATTCATCACAACCATAAGTTTCAAAAATCAACACACTCACACATAAAGGCTATAGCTGGCTGAAACTGGTTGTGACTTGGTGGAGCATCATGTAAACATAATTAGTATCTTTCCTAACTCAGCACTACACTTTGGACCACACTCTCTTCCACCTTCATCATTTTCAAATCAAAACTCCTATTTTTGGTGCTATCAAGTTGGTAGTTTTTTTCACTACACTAGTACCTTCTTTTCATTTTAATTACCCTACCATTTTCTTAAACATATCATCAATAACTACACTGAAAAAAAGTACAAAAGTAGGACCCAAAAAAATATGTTGTAATTAGTTTTTGCACTTGATATTTTGAGAGTTTCTCTTATTTACTTCTTCATGAACATCTATACGTTTAGAAGAATCTTTTTAAACTTATTTGAACCAAAAAAGCAACTTCAAGTTAAAAGTTAAACCAAATTGTACTTAGCTTACATTAATTAGTTTTCATTCCTTGACACATTTTAACAGCTACCACCACATGTCACTTGTTTTAACTTGATACTTTCATTTATATCAAAATATGAAATTAATTTCTACACTACCAAAAATTGCATGGTTGTTGTGTGAAGTAATGTGTAATTAACGTACTATATTCAAAGTTTGGGCCCTATAACTTCATATGATAAATGACATGTGTGATGACTGATGAGTAGGTTTATGCTATTTAATTTTCATATACTATGAACTACAAAAGATTTTGCCTTCCAATTTTATTACAAAACAAAGCTAACTTGGTAGAGTTAATCAAACATTGAACTCAGTTGATGAGTGATTAACAAAATGATTGGACTTAAGTGGTTTTTAAGGTTCAGGGAAAAGCTAACTTGGTAGAGTTAATCAAACATTGAACTCAGTTGATGAGTGATTAACAAAATGATTGTTTGGACTTAAGTGGTTTTTAAGGTTCAGGGAAAGATATAGTTCGATTGAACTTTCTTCTAACACGTAAACTCATTTTTTATAAAATAATAATAGAAACAACATCGATAATAGTTTGAAAATGTTCAATTAACAAAATATATACGTGTCTTCGGTGTTGATTGGTCCATACCATTTTTCTTTTGTCTCAGTCTAATTAATGTTAAAATAATGAAAGCAAAGTGTTATTAAAGAGGAGACAATGAAATTTAAGAGATTGTGCAGTTAACATGGACACCAACTAACCTCATAAAGGTTGCTTCTACTTTACTTTTTCTTAAGTCTTCAGCTTCAGCAACTAAACTAAATAATCAGAACAAAATTATGTTCTTAAGAAAAGAAGTAGTATTTTGATTAAAATTTAGTGCTAATTGATGATATAAATCATACTATAACTAGTATCTTCAAAATTTGGTGCAAGTTCCAATGGAACAGGAATCTTCATTCAACTCAAAGAAAATGTATAAATCAAAACATATAGTACATGTTTGGTTTCACCATCCACTCTGCAATACCAAACATGCATATACATGATTTTAAATTTCTAAGAGCACAAAATTCTCTTCATCTCAAGAATAAGTCTCTAATAATATAAGATAAAAATGCAACTTCAATTATGCTAGCATATAGAGTATACTTATATAATATATATACTTATCTGTACATTACAAATATTGAATAACTGCTATTCTGCTGCTGATGCTACTACTATCTCTTATTATGTAATGGATTGGAACCTGTAGGAACTCTTCGTTTCTGAGATTCAAACTCTCTACCTCTGCAGCTGATTGGAGAATTGGCGCATCGATGATGAAAAACTTGTTGTTGAGTTGAAGTTGAAGGGCCTGAAAATTTGGTTCTTATGGTATAAGATGTAGGTGTAAGGAAAAGAAGAATAGTTAAGAGAAGGAAAAAGTGGAACTGCTTCATTTTCATGATTTAAGTAACAATGTCATACATGCTCATAGGGACAACAAGTTTGAGAATGTAAATTTTATGTGGGCTAAGGTTGTTGTTATATAGATACAAACATGGGTTGGGACATGTTTTATTTTTATGTACTATTACAGTGTGACATAGTTGATAGATAAACATATTTTAATAGTCTGATTTGTGTTTTAATACCTGATTAGTGTGTACAAAAAATATATGTGAAAAGGTATCAAAATTTTAAGATTAGTCATTAGCAGATGTTGAAGATACAAATATGTTTATTGGTTGAGTGTGATGACTAATTTGCCCTTTGATTGGGATGAAATGGTCATTGATTGATATGATTAAAGAATGTGTAGGTAGGGACTTGCAGGGTCTCTAGAATGACGGTTGTGGGGGATGTTGTGTTCAATGGGAGATAGTGACATTAAAAATTGAATACTTGAGTGATTTATGGGAAGTAAAACTCAGTATATATGAAAGGTTTGAAACAATGAGCCCAAAATATGGTGCATGGTTTTGCAATAACTGTTTCATTTTATGAGAAAGACCAAAATGACCCCATTGAATATGTTGATGTGTTTAAGGAATTTGAATTGTCATTTTCTTTGGTTTTTCGTACATTGCGTGGATTTGGAAAATCGGATGAACTTCATAGACTACTCTACTATACTTCCGAACACAATGGAACATCTTCTAGAATACACCATCTTATCTTGTTACATCAATTGAAACCATAATAGATTAGTGGGTCATTTGTGTCTATTGAATTTTCAAGTTTTTAAATGGTTGTGTGATATGTATCTTACGTATGATAATTAGTTTTAGTTGAGTTTTAAAGTTAACTAAATTTGGCTGTGATTTGTTTTTTCTTCAAATAATTATAGTAAGAAAACAAAAATCATTTTTTAGTTGTTGTTGTGAGTCTCTTAATTCTTTTCAAAAGGGATAATACGAATGTTTAAACATTTTGTGAGTTAATAAAGTAAAGAAAATATAGATAAATTGTAAAGCACAAAGATTAAGATTAAAAGAAAGAAACATATTTTGATTGATTGTGTATATCTAAAATGTTATATACAATGATTATAATAAGTGAAACTCTTAAATTACATATCAAAATAATAAGATCTTTAAAATCTAGACTTGACTATTGTATTAGGTGTTTCTCGCCGATAACATGTGTAGTAGTGTTTATTATTAAATATACGTGACACTCTTCATTTGACTTGACATCTCCTATTTTACAATGTTTTTGTTTTTTTGATACAAACGTCAGTTTTAAGTTCTGATCATATTTATTAAAAATAGTTGTTTGTAGAGCTAAAAAATGTGACTCATTACAATTTAATTGTCAATTTCATGTGACTTTGACTAATTCCGACACTCACGTGACCCCTGTGAAGCTCTTTGAATTTGAGAATGATTCACTTCATATGTATTGAGTTGTCCTTAGTTCGAATGACCTTCATTTGCCTATCTATGCATTAACTAAACCTAATTCGATTGTTGGTGGTTTCTTTGCCTAACAAGTTAAATAATTTAGTTGTAAGCAAATGTCTATTGCATTGCATTAATTGTTAAGCTTCGCTCGGGAATTGATGTGATATAAATAATAATTATTGTATGAACAATGCAATCATTGCAACGTAAAAAATAAAAAATAACTATTGGAAACCCCTTCTCGTCTTTTGAATGGTTAAAGCTTCATTAAACCATGTTGATGTTGGGAAAATCGACAAAGAAAAATAAAAGAATACAATCACTACACATGGATATAACGTGGAAACTCCAAAACCGAAGAAAAAATCAAGGTTGTTGTCAAATGACAACCAGAGAATAACACAATGTGAAAATTGTTGCAACACACAATATATCCTCAACCACCCTCATGCCATTTGTACACCCATACCTTCCAAAACAAATATTTAACTACATCTCAAAACACTTTTACACAAGAGTATAAGAGAACAAAAAAAAAACGTAATATACAAGTTTAACGTATTTTTGATTGGTGTATCTTGTAACAAAGAACTTGAATTCTTGATATAACCTTGGACTCACTCTTTCTTTACAAAATTAAGCAATGCATGACTTTTTTAACTTTCATATTTTCAGATGGTTGTGCAGGAGACTGAGTTACTGTAGAAGGCACCTTGCACGTGGCCTTGTTGTGTCCATCCTTATGACACATACTGTATTTGATACCAAATTTTTGATATTTGGTAGAAGGTTACCATAACATTTGGCAATCTTCTGTCTGTCGGACTCCCACCTTTGCATAAGGTACACTCTATTTTCCTCAATCATAGCCACAATAGGCTTAACTCTTGCGGCTACAAAAACTAATTCGAATGCCTCTAACATATTATTCACTAATGTGTCACACATAAAACTAGTTCTAAATCTTGACTTACTCCAATGTCTTGGTGGAATCGTCAAGAGGCGTATTAAGTGTTTAAATCATAATGAATCATTATTGATCATGATATTATATGTAATCTATTTATGAATCATTATCAATGTTATCTTTGTTTTATTGTTTATTTTCATGGATTTGAATTGATATTGACAAATACGGTTCGAATCTTGATCCAAGATAATCATCTATTAAAATCTGAATGTTAGACATAGATTTAGGTTTAATATTCACCATAAAATATTGATTTTTAATGCTGTTGTATTGTTTAAAAGGTTGAGAGATCTCCGATTAAACCATAAGATAGAAACCTCATCAGATGTTTCGACATAAACTCTATTTGTGAGCGATACATAATGATATCGATATATGTATAGATTGTGTATAACTGATCAATGATTTGCATATTTAATCGGTGGATGAAATCCAATCCCAGCAAACTTATTCCTCTGAAAACTATCTTTATTAATTATATGTTTTTTTTTTCATTCGGTAACTTACATAAACAACCATCTTGCAAAACTTCCGCTTAAAATCTTAGAAGTTTTTGGACGGTATTGATATCGCTCTAGTCCCTGCAGATACGATAAAACAAAATATTTACTTTTGATACTGAATATCAAAAATGGCGCCATTGTCGGGGACTAGCGTTTAGATATTAAAACATAGCAATAGTTTCTATTCTTTTAAGCTTTGTGAATTTGTGTATATATTGTATGTATTTGTTTTTTGCACCGTTTGTTCAAGTGTTTGGTTAGGTGGTGCACTCTCTGTTTATGCTACGAAGCAGAACTCCGGAAGAACGATTACTTTTTGATCCCGAGATCGAAAGGACAGTCTGGAAAAATAAGAAACAAACAAAGAAACAGAAACAACTAGCCAAGCAGAAAAGTAAAAAGAAATGAGCTTCTACATCAACTTCTGCAACAATTCTAACAATTCCTATAATGGCTGAAGGAGAAGTCATCAACGGACTTGTCGAAATAGCCCAAGATGTTTAGCTCGTCTCACCAATAACCAACAAGCAGAGATGAAAACAAGACTGCTACAAATCATTTATGCAAACCCATTTGCAGGTATTGATCATGAAGATCCTTACACGCATCTCACCAAATTCTACGAACTTGTCGGTACTCTTGGTGCATCAGAAGCAGAAGAAGCAGTATTTATGAGGTTATTCCCACATTCTCTTTTTGGTAAAGCAAAGAATTGGTATCTTGACCAATCAACTCAAGTCATGAGAAATTGGAATACCTTGGAGGAAAACTTTCTCAACTGGTTCTTTTTGCACAATAGATTCATGGATGCAAAGACAACTATTGCCGCATTCGCTCAAAGGGAAACTGAAACTCTCTGTGAAGCTTGGGAGCGTTACAAATCTATGTTGTGTAAATATCCAAACCATGGTTTTGATGATCTCTGTAACGCCCTGATAATTTAATTAATTATTTAATTAAAATTATTAGTTGGAGTTGAACAATATTGTGAATTATTATTAAGTTGCTCTGTGACATTATTTGATTAAATGGTGGTTTAATAATATTAAATATATTGGAGCATTATAAGATTAATTGTTGGGCTTATTTAAATAATGTCATGTAGTAAATATGGGAATGTAGATATTGACCCAATAAGAATTACTAGAATTACAAGGTTAAGTGGATATAAAAGGAATTATGTTAATTGCGAAAAAATGAGAGAATAGATGGGAGAAACTCATTCCCGTTTTTATTTCAGCAGTCTTACAAAATCGGCAATCCCCGATTCGTTAACCGTTGGATCATGCTAAAATTTTGAGGGTAGGTTCCCAACACCTACATATAACTTTTGACCATTGGGATCTTCAAAATAAGGTCTGAGTTAGGAGATATCATCATCGCACTGTAGCTTCATATTTGGAGAAATTTTCAGCTTTGATTCTGATCTAGAGAGAAAAAAATCTTGGAAGGTTTTGGTACAAGAGAAGTTACAGAGAAGAGAAAAATAAGGGTTTTGAGGAGAAGAAGAGGGATACATGAAAGTTACACCAAGCGGCCAAGAGGAGATTCAATCGGAGACCCTTAGAGTTACCTTCAATTCCAATCAGATATGGGTGGGGTTCAATCTCTATAACCGGGTATATGCTCAACCATATGTGGGGTTGGGTTGTATAAATTTGTGCCATGAATTGTTGTCGATTCGGTTATATTGTGATTGTATAAAGATTACCAGTCCTGCAATTTTAGTTGTCAGTGAATGTTCATAATATGTTGATGAAATTGTTCTGCAATTTATTTAAATCGTATTTCTGTTATGATATTGTTATGGCTATTATTGAGTTGTTGTCCTGAGATAAGACTCGAAAGAACATATAGGCGTGGTGGAAAGACTATGTCATATATTATATTATTAAGAAGTTAATATAATTAGTAAAATAATTTAGTATCAGATTGGATTAAAGAAGTTGCAGGAATAAATTGTAATGCTTTAGTCAAATAAATAGCAGGATATATATGTAAGAGTAGCAGAAATAGTAGTGTAGGGACTAATTTAGCTGAGAATTGTTAGGAAGTATCAGTAGATGTAGAAATTGCAAATTATCATA